ACAAGCCAGGTTGAAGGGTGCTGTCCATGGACCATCCCCGGTTGCCTGTGTCCCCTGGAGCAGGTCTTGAGAAGGTCACTCAAGTGGTTAATCTCACCTTGTACCGGAACGATTCCTGTTCCTGCAGGGACTCTCCGCCAGGCTCAGTTATCCGGCGTCACTCTCCATCATCTGCTTGAGGAGCTTGCAGGGCATTAGTGTAGATAAATCTACAGTCAATTAGATCACTTATATGCAGCCCATGCACGTAGTTAACTGAAATTATAACGGTGAGCCGGGATCAGAGATGATACCATGTGACCTTCTGGGAATTATTGCTCCACATTTTGGAGAGAATTCTTAGTGTTATATCTGTTAATCAAAAGTGGGAAGATAGGTGATGTTCGTTATTGGCACTAGAACTGATAAAAGTTTACATCTTTAGAAGTAGTGAAAGGTTGCATGATATTTAACTTGGTTCATTTCCCTGCGTGATGTGGGGCAGGGGATATGGGAACACAGTTCATTTGTCCGTCATTCTGTCTTTCCGTTCGGTAGAATATTTCTAGATGAAACTTGCTATGGCCAGATCAGTCTAGTGATGAAGTGGTGACTTGTGATGATTTGGGATGTTAAAACATAATAATAGAGGAAATACGGTAGGTTGATATTGGATGGTTTTGACGATGACGTGATGTTCTAGGCCGTAGCCCTGACTGCTTCGATGATGAGATTACAAGACATGATGAAGTCATATCTTTTGCATACTTTATTCAGGCAGAAGGCGGTAATAAGTGCTGCACTTGTGCCCAATCCCTTTGTCTTTTTGGACAATAAAATATGTTCAATAATACTTTATTCATGACGACATGTTGTTTACAAACCTTTTTGTGATCGATAGTCATTCCCAGCTCCATCAACCACCACTGTAAGGATTTGGCAGGAGGGGATTTGAAAGTCCATCAGAAAACACTCCTCCCTTCAAAAGGCCACGAAAACAATGTCCTGACATCACTGAAGTCACAGTACAAGAACTTGATCAAAACAACTTATCAGACTTGAAATTCATTTGAGAACGCCCACAATTAGGCAAATCATAGACGATCCACTGTTTCTGGGCAACAACTGTCATTTCTTGCATATGCTGGCGTTGAATCCGTGAAATCTTGAAATTGACAGTTCTAATCATATCATTTATGTCAAAATAGTCAGCTCATCTGTGGCCTAAAATTTCCAAGAAATGACTTGATGTTTCCAAACAGTGCACAACAGGTTTCTGCAAAACACAAATCAGTTATGAGGGTTATTTTGCCAATTTTCTTTTGAAAAACTGTGTGTTTTGAACCCTTATTCTCAAATGGTCAAAACTATGTGTATTTTAATGTTGAACTATTGAAGTAACATTTCTTACATTTCCCCTTTTCGGATTGTTCTTAGATAGCGGACCTTTGTACCCATTGCCATTGCAAGAGAGTGCCGTTTTCCAAGTGCTATTTTCGTCATGGTAGAATGGAGAAAATCTACTGTGTTTTGAAATTTGATGTACTCCCTAAGTAGCGTAATACTTCTAAATTTGGTATATATATGCCTTCTTTAGGATTGGACTGCTATTTATGAAACTAGGTCAAAGGTCAAGGGCAACAATTAGGTTTTCGTAAACAAGGTTTTGTCATTGTCAGTTTCTGAGGCATAGTTATCCTTTCAGGCGTGATATAGAATATTTATATGTTTCTGTATAAATCCAGCGACATAATTTGTTGGTTTGTTGTGTAACGCCATGTGAATGGCAGAATAAATTTGAATGAATATGATATGCATCTTTTGTAGGCTGTTTGTGTTTGAATATTGATCAGACCAGGCCATTCAAAAGAATTGTCAATGACAAAGTGTTCAGCTTAGTGGCATTCTGTTAGCGTAGGACAACCTTGGCTGCAGCAGTAGGATGATCTAACGGGCCATTGTGAAGGATATTTTTCCTCAACTATTGAAACATAAGCAGCCTGCAGATTGCGGGAATGTAGAGCAAGTAACATCTGGTATCATCCCTCACTGGCTTCCACAGGAGATAGTTCTTGGGAGATCATGGAGTGAGAGAGTGAGTGATTTTGGTTTTACGCCGCTTTTAGCAATATTCCAGCAATATCACGGCGGGGGACACCAGAAATGGGCTTCACACATTGTACCCATGTCGGGATTTGAACCCGGGTCTTCATTGGACGAGCGAACGCTTTAACCACTAGGCTACCGGATCGCCCCGGGAGATCATCGAAGTTCATCACAATGCTGCACAGACCATTGTGACATCATTGGTTTCCATGACACCGCAATCAAATGACATCACCAATCTCAGACTTTGAAGCTGTAGCTGTATTTTTTGTACTCAAGACATTGGTTTACTGTTAACAAACTGAAAAAGTTTGAAGAACTCTTTTGGATGATAAGTAGAATCTCCCCCTCTTCAGTGCTCAAATGTATGTCAAGATTTCTTGATGTGAGTCAAAATATTCTTGGCAAGTTTTGGGGCGGTCGGGCAGCCTAGTGGTTAAAGCGTTCGCTCGTCACACCGAAGACCTGGGTTCGATTCCTGACATGGGTACAATGTGTGAAGCCCATTTCTGGTGTTACCCCGCCGTGATATTGCTTGAATATTGTAAAAGCAGTGTAAAATCAAACTCACTCACTCACTGACTTGGCAAGTTTGGGTACTTGTGACTTTTGTCAACTCGTTTTGATATGTTTAATCTCAGAAGACACTCAGGTGACATTCTCTGGTAATGTTATGAACCATCTAAGTTACGGTACAAGGTCATGTGACTCTCAATCCCAATGGCCATGTGAACTATAATACCTTTGACAGAAGTGTCTGTCTCCTGAAGGACATACTAGATCGATACAGGGAAGCCCTATTGTAACCAGTCATTGGCTTCAAAGAGAAACAATTGGCCTTGGCATACTTAGGTCCAGGGACTATGTACAAGTCAGTTTGCAAAGGTAAATACAGTATTAGTCAGAAACGATGTTAGTCTGGACACTGCTAGTCTGGAAACCGCTAGTCTGGATACTGCTAGTCTGGACACTGCTAGTCTGGATACTGCTAGTCTGGACACTGCTAGTCTGCAAACCGCTAGTCTGGACACTGCTAGTCTGGACACTGCTAGTCTGGACCATGTTAGTCTGGACACTGCTAGTCTGGAAACCGCTAGTCTGGACACTGCTAGTCCGGACACTGCTAGTCTGGACACTGCTAGTCTGGAAACCGCTAGTCTGGACACTGCTAGTCTGGACACTGCTAGTCTGGACACTGCTAGTCTGGAAACCGCTAGTCTGGACACTGCTAGTCTGGACACTGCTAGTCTGGACACTGCTAGTCTGGAAACCGCTAGTCTGGACACTGCTAGTCTGGACACTGTTAGTCTGGACCATGTTAGTCTGGACACTGCTAGTTTGGACACTGCTAGTCTGGACCATGTTAGTCTGGACACTGTTAGTCTGGACACTGCTAGTCTGGACCATGTTAGTCTGGACATTGCTAGTCTGGACCATGTTAGTCTGGACCATGTTAGTCTGGACCATGCTAGTCTGGACCATGTTAGTCTGGACATTGCTCGTCTGGACACTGCTAGTCTGGACCATGTTATTCTGGACACTGCTAGTCTGGACACTGCTAGTCTGGACCATGTTAGTCTGGACACTGCTAGTCTGGACACTGCTAGTCTGGACACTGCTAGTCTGGACCATGTTATTCTGGACACTGCTAGTCTGGACACTGTTAGTCAGAACACTGTTAGTATGGACCATTTTAGCCTTAACACTGTTAGTCTGGACACTACTAGTCTGGACCATGTTAGTCTGGAGACTGCTAGTCTGGACACTGCTAGTCTGGACACTGTTAGTCAGAACACTGTTAGTATGGACCAATTTAGCCTTAACACTGTTAGTCTGGACACTGTTAGTCTAGACACTGTTAGTCTGGACACTGTTAGTCGGGACCCTGTTACTCAGAACCCTGTTAATCTGGACACTGTTAGTCTGGACACTGTTAGTCAGAACACTGTTAGTCAGAACCCTGTTAATCTGGACACTGTTAGTCAGAACCCTGTTAGTCTGGACACTGTTAGTCGGGACCCTGTTACTCAGAACCCTGTTAATCTGGACACTGTTAGTCAGGACCCTGTTAGTCATAACCCTATTAGTCAAGACCCTGTTAGCCATGACACTGTTAGTTTGGGGCATCTGGACCCAGTTAGTTAGGACCTTGTTAGTCAGCAACCTGTTAGCCTGAACACTGCTAGTCTGGACCATGTTTGTCTGGACACTGCTAATCTGGACACTGTTAGTCAGAATCCTATTAGCCTGGACACTGTTAGTCTGGAGACTGTTTGTCTTAACACTGTTGGTCAGGACCCTGTTAGTCAGAACCCTGTTTGTCAGGATCCTGTTAGTCTGGCCACTGTTAGTCTGGATGCTGTTAGTCTTGACACTGTTGGTCAGGACTCTGTTAGTCAGAACCCTGTTAGTCTGGACACTGTTAATCAGGATCCTGTTAGTCTTGATGCTGTTGGTCAGGACCCTGTTAGTCAGAACCCTGTTAGTCAGGACCCTGTTAGTCTGGATGCTGTTAGTCTGGACACTGTTAGTTTGGAGCATCTGGGCCCAGTTAGTGAGGACCTTGTTAGTCTGGACCTCATTAAGCTTAATTACTGTTGGGAATGTCTGTATGATATTTAGAGGAACATCTCTCCATACACATGGTTTGTTAATCCAGAGATTTATAAATAATCAGGATGATTATCAGTACGGTTATCCAGAATTTATTGTCTAGACACAAGAAAGAAGTAAACCTTTCATTCAGGTTGTGTTAAGGTACACCCACTGCTAGGGGAGCCTGTCTGAGGTCGGTGCGTGTGCTTCCTGAACCCTTCCCCTGACACACTGATATTTAGCACATGCCCTCCAGAGAGATAGAAATGCCTGATGCTACAACTAGTAAACCGCTGACGTAAATCTCCTTTTCATTGTAGGTCGCAAGAGAGAGTGGTTTCCCTTGTGTGAGGCGAGGGAGCGGTTGTTGCACAAGCCGGTCCAAGTCACCTACCTGGAACTACTCAAAGATCGACCTTTGGTGACCTGAGATTACTACATTCCAGCCTCCCTAGTTCAAGATGTAAAGTTGCAGGCTATGGATTGGCTTCATGTACACTTCCTTTGATTGGACAATTAGGACCTGTTGTGGGTCATGTGACTGGAATTATAAAGAAGATGTGTATTCTGATTGGCTGAAGCCAGTGATGGTTATTATGTATGTATTATATGGAGGTTTTAACATACCTGTGTGATATGGAAAGGGATAATTATTAAAGACAGGATGTGTATATTGATGAGTGATGGGTATGTGAGTGAGGTGTGAGATGTGTAAGGGTTCACTTGGAAGAAATAGCATTTATGTGTCAACAGTGGAATAAGGGTGAGAGAAGTGGATCATACACATTGTGATATCCTATGTAACATATTTCCCGTACTCTTCCTATTATTGAGGTGCTCCGAGAACATTGGCATGCCAGTTCTCCCTCGTCAGACAAGTTCGCTAATTAGTCCGAGAAACTCCTGTGACAGTTCTATTAAATGTATTGAGTTAATAAAAGGGGGTATCAGCCCTATTGTCCTGAGACAGCAAGTTATTCCAATGTCTATCCTACACTGTTGGGTGATCCTCCAGACAACCTGCCCTGCTAGTTGCAGTGGAGGACTGGGGAGCACTGGGGAGCACTGAAGCGGATGCCACTCGGTTCGTCTTTTTTCAAATTCTCCGGATGAAGGGACTTTACATTTAACAGTGAATATGCCATCTTTTTCTGAGTTGAAATATATTCTTCCGCTTGAGCAGACCACAGTCCCAATCACCATTCTCTGTGATGTAGAGTTGTCTGCCCTTCAGGAAACCAGATCACATGGGTCTTGTCTTCTGGGCTTTGAACATTTTTTTTGAAGATTTTTATTCTAAATCCAATTTAACTGTGCAATTTTTCAACCACAATCACACTTTGCTCCTAAATGTATTGATTCCGAGTGGGCATCTCGACCATTGCTCCCAGAGTCTGTGTGGCACGACAGTGATGTAGGATAGTGTTATGGAAGTGGTAACAGATCTTTTTTTGTAAACTTTGTGGAAAACTCCAATGAACAACGCCTCTGCTGCTCCGTGCACAATGATGTAAACGCCTTGCCTTCAGATACTACTTTTACTATGAGGAATCATAAACATACAGTGTTAATTTTTTAAGACATTTTGATACAAACTATTTTAAGACTTCACAGTGGAAAAAGCTTTTGGAATTGATGAACATCTATTTTGCTACCTGTTTAGACTAGAACTTTTTCATGAATTTTCCAGATTTGTCAAGTTACTGTGTTGAAATGAACAATGTTCCGTGTATGTAAGAGTGTGTGAGAGAGATTTACATGCAGTATTTATTGAAGTACACACCAAGGGTGGAGTGTTGATTCATGCAGATGACATCAACAAAACTTTTGCTATATTTGTTTTACTTGAATATATGAGTCTTACTGATTTCCCAGACACAAGTATTTATATTTACTATTGGTGTTTGCCAATATCATTTCAAGAATTCAGCAGCACTTTGGAGTCATTTTGCCTCTAGTTAGTTGAAGTGAAGCCTCTCAAAGTGAGTTGACAAATAATATAACATATTTCATAACAATTGAAACTATCGTGCACATTGTACTAAATGTTTTGTAAGTGCTGTAACTTTTATTTTGTGGCCAGTATATATAGAAATTATGCCATGTATTTGAGGCAATCCTAGATTCCTCTGATCTTGGGTTATCTTATGATGGATTCCAATTGGATTTAATCAGGTGCTATATGCCCCGGGTAAGCGGGGATGTCATACCATGTGTTACTTTGTATTACAATGCTGAGTCAGGAGCAAGTTGAATGCATCGTGATGAACATCAGTACATGGCTCTCTGCGTGGACTGTTTTCTTGAGAACTTAATGTTGATGAATAGGTGAAAACTTCTTGGATGGTACGACACTGCTCTGTGTTGGAGAAAGTCTGTCAAACCTGACTGTACACTGGGTACCACTGAACATTGTTGCTGAAACAAGTCATATTGTGAATATATCACAGACCAATGGACAGACTGTGACTCCGGGCTGCCAGAAGTGGTCAAAATATTTTATGTCACATACACTTTGCTTGCTGGATTTACAGAACTTGGCCTCCGACATCCCCTGGTCTCTGTGTCTGGTAGATGACCTCAAACATCCCTTGGTCTCCATGACCGGTACATGACCTCCAACATCACCTGGTCTCCCTGATTGTACATGACCTCCAACATCCCCTGGTCTCCGCGACCGGTACATGACCTCCAACATCCCCTGGTCTCTGTGTCTGGTACATGACCTCCAACATCCCCTGGTCTCTGCGACCGGTACATGACCTCAAACATCCCCTGGTCTCTACGAACGGTACATGACCTCCGACATCCCCCGGTCTCTGTGTCTGGTACATGACCTCCAACATCCCCTGGTCTCTGCGACGGGTACATGACCTCCAACATCCCCTGGTCTGTGTGACCGGTACATGACCTCCAACATCCCCTGGTCTCTGCGACCGGTACATGACCTCCAACATCCCATTGTCTCCGTTACCGGTACATGACCTCCAACATCCCCTGGTCTCTGTGTCTGGTACATGACCTCCAACATCCCCTGGTCTCTGCGACCGGTACATGACCTCCAACATCCCTTGGTCTCAGTTACCGGTACATGACCTCCAACATCCCCTGGTCTCTGTGTCTGGTACATGACCTCCAACATCCCCTGGTCTCTGCGACCGGTACATGATCTCAAACATCCCTTGGTCTCCGTTACCGGTACATGACCTCCAACATCCCCTGGTCTACATGACGGTTCATGACCTCTAACAACTACTGGTCTCCGTGACTCGTACATGACCTCCAACATCCCCTGGTCTCTGCAACCGGTACATGACCTCCAACATCCCCTGGTCTCCATGACGATTACATGACCTCTAACAACTACTGGTCTCCGTGACTGGTACATGACCTCCAACATCCCCTGGTCTCTGCGACCGGTACATGACCTCCAACATCCCTTGGTCTCTGTTACTGGTACATGACCTCCGACATCCCCTGGTCTCTGTGTCTGGTACATGACCTCCAACATCCCCTGGTCTCCCTGACGGTTACATGACCTCTTACAACTACTGGTCTCCGTGACTGGTACATGACCTCCAACATCCCCTGGTCTCTGCGACCGGTACATGATCTCCAACATCCCCTGGTCTCCGTGACTGGTACATGACCTCCAACATCCCCTGGTCTCTGCAACCGGTACATGACCTCCAACATCCCCTGGTCTCCATGACGGTTACATGACCTCTAACAACTACTGGTCTCCGTGACTGGTACATGACCTCCAACATCCCCTGGTCTCTGTGACCGGTACATGACCTCCAACATCCCTTGATCTCCGTTACCGGTACATGACCTCCGACATCCCCTGGTCTCTGTGTCTGGTACATGACCTCCAACATCCCCTGGTCTCCATGACAGTTACATGACCTCTAACAACTACTGGTCTCCGTGACTGGTACATGACCTCCAACATCCCCTGGTCTCTGCGACCGGTACATGATCTCCAACATCCCTTGGTCTCCGTTACCGGTACATGACCTCCAACATCCCCTGGTCTCTGCGACTGGTACATGACCTCCAACATCCCCTGGTCTCCATGACGGTTACATGACCTCTAACAACTACTGGTCTCCGTGACTCGTACATGATCTCCAACATCCCCTGGTCTCTGCGACTGGTACATGACCTCCAACATCCCCTGGTCTCCATGACGGTTACATGACCTCTAACAACTACTGGTCTCCGTGACTCGTACATGATCTCCAACATCCCCTGGTCTCCGTGACGGTTAAATGACCTCCAACATCCCCTTGTCTCCCTGATGGTACATGACCTCCAACATCCCCTGGTCTCTGTGACCGGTACATGACCTCCAACATCCCCTTGTCTCCACGACCGTTACATGGCCTCCAACATCCCCTGGTCTTTGTGACTCCTCCCAACTTTCCCTGGTTTCCGTGGCCGTCTTAAGGAACTAGGCTCCCACATAAATACATTTCAATTTCAAATCCAACCATTAAGACTTTAATTCCCGCCTCCTCCAGCTGCCAACTTCAATTACCTGTGACAGCTGATATCGCTAATTAAACAGAGATGAGAGTAACGCTGTAATGTAGGAGAAAATGTCCAGGTGTGTGTTATACCCAGGGTCCAGTGTACAGAGGGATCCAAGCGTCCATCTCAACACCAGTTTTCATGTTGTGAAAAACCAGATTTCATGCTGTGAAAACACATCAACATGGTTCATAGAAGCTGTCTCACTCACAGGTTAATCGTTATCATTTTAATGTAGGTACATCATCACGGTTCAAATAAGAGTATTATTTTTTCAGTTTTTGCTCAGTTATATTTTCAGAAATAAGAGTATTGTATTCAAGTTGAAAGCAAGATTCTTACAGAAGTAATTCTCTGAGAGTTTGATATGCACATTTGTTCACATTGGTTTTCCTGTTCTGCATATTACCTACACTTTTGATTGTTTAGTTTGTATGAAGAGCTTTACAACATCGCTGTGATTTGGCTGTTGTACTGTCTGTATTGAGCCAGGACTACATGGGGCACTGTACAGGGATAGTGTAACAGCCATAGCTTGTCAAGGCAACAGATTCAGGTCTTGGTTATTTACGTGAGAGACCATCTTTCCGAGGCAAGGGCTTTAACTGACTACAAAGGCAAATCCTGCAGTCGACCAAAATCTACCATTCGTGACCAACTCGTGTTATTCCGGGACAAGCCGAATAGCGACTCGTGCCCATCTCATGGCTATTTTTGCGACCGGGTTCCGTCTTAGCGCAAACGGGCATACCTAAAACAATTGTCAACTCGTTGCGTAATGGTTCACATATATTTCCTCATATATTATATATATTTCAGATTCAATTTAAAGCACATCTGGACATGGGGAATTATACAGTATGATTGAACATATTTAACTGTGTCTTGGGTATATTTTTAGATGCAAGACATATGTAAAATCAAAGATTATTTCTGAGGGATTCTTTGATGAACAACTTGAAATCATATGCGCATTCTGATTGGTTTGTCGTATTTTCGCACGCAACATTCATTGATAGGGGGACGAGTCTTCTTGCAGGTTATGGAAAGGGGCAAGTGGTGACGAATGAAAATCTACTGGTTGAAATCCATGTAGTTCGTTACACATTTTGATTGGACTATGTGCATACTCATTAGTCCAGCCAAAATGTAACTCCAGAATACCAGCCTAGTTCAGCAAGGGTGGGAACTGGACTTTCATAGTCAGTTAACGCCTTGCCTTGGGAAGATGGTAAGAGACAAGAGATTTGTATTTGTGCCGGTATATTGGTACCTGAATCTGTACCTGTACATCTACTTGAAGACTTGTAACAGAATCTATGTCTGTACATTTAACAGTAGATACGTACCTGTGTAATTACCTGTACATCTACCTGAAGACTTGTAACGGAATCTATGTCTGTACATTTAACAGTAGATTCGTACCTGTGTAATTACCTGTACATCGATTGCAGACTTGGTCTTGTGTATCTACCTGTAGCTACCTGTGTAACGCCTGTTGATTTCTACCTGTACATTACCACCCTCGTTAGCTAGCTGTGTGGAAGTGTGCTATGTGCTGTGTATTTACGTCACTATTGTTGGTAAGCGTGAACATCTTTGTAACCAGTTGCTTTTATATACTAGACTGTACAGAGATATTATGTACTTTATCTATTTACAACTGCTCTGTTTTGATGTGGACTATTAGAGTTTGATGTATTTATATACCGGTAAGCCTGTTCACATGAGAGCCACTTTTCTAATGTGGCCTGGTCAGTGTGACATAAAAAAGCAAGCGACGGTATTCCATGTCACCATAATGACCAGATTGTCTTTGATTTTCAGATTAAGTGTATCATTTACACCTGTATACTGATGGCATTAAATAAGGGAACACTAATAACGAAGATGAAGTTAATAGCTTTGTCTAGTGATACTCTGGTCCTGCTGTTGGTACATGATGCAAACTTTGGACTTTTAACCAACAGGTGAGGGACCAACAAATCTGTACCATGTCAGGTTATAAGTGCTCATGCATAAGGTCCAGGGTGTTATTTATTAAAAATAAACATGGCGATATTTGTTCACATCGAAAGTTTGTTTTGAGAGATAATAATTACAACAAACTGCCCTGCTAATGTTTATTTTGTCGAGACACTTTTACTTCACAAACTTCTCACAGAAACAGTGCGACAAGCTCACTCATGTCGGACAGATGAATCCTCTTGCACATGTTCCCATATTTTTGCTCATCAGTATGACCACTTTCAAAGACTTTTCATGAGTGATACTGATTCAGCCGTAGATTCAGCTCCAGATTCAATAACCCTGCTGTGGCAGCAAGTTAATATATACACCAACATTTGCCATCAGATGGCGCGACCGCGGTATTGTATGTGTGCTGTGATGTCCTAGAAGGCATTTCCCATTAATTCACTGTCTATGCTCAACACACTCCATTACACCATGACACTGTGACAGTCGAGCCTTCTTCAAAGGGTGGTGGTCGTCTCCACACACAGTTCCTGTCCACAAAAGTAACCGTTGTTTAGATTCTCTACCTGCTGTGATATGATGGTAATAAAGGTGTATGCCATTATCAATGTTGTTGAAGACTCAGTTTCTAAATCAAACTGAAGCAAGCCGAAACAATACCATCCAGAAGAGGGTGATAAATGCTTTTATTCACATCCTCTATTTAGTTGACTTCAATATATATCACATAATGAAATATTAATCAGAAAAAAGGGACAAGCTATGAAATAGCACTAACTGTCTTAAGTGTTATCAGATATAAGCACAGTATTGATCTATGAAGAGGTTGCCAGATTTCGTCAAATATCCCTTAACACCAGGTGTCCATCAAGACAAAACAGTTAATGGAAATTTTGCATAGACTGCTCACTAGGTGAGTGTAACCGCTGGGCATTCAGATCATGTGAGACATATTTAATGCCATTAGTGATGCCGTCAGGTCCACTAACGGTGGGGTCCCATGAAGATTCTGGGTTAGAACTGGTCTTCAGCAATCTAACTACCTTCAGTGACTATCGGGATTGGGTGGTCAGGCTTGCTGACTTGTTTGATGCATGACATCGTATCCCGATATCTGTATCCGTAGATCAATGCTCATGATGTCAATCACTCGATTGTCTGGTCCAGATTTGATTTTTTACCGACCGTGTCATGTAGCTGGAATATTGCTGAGAGCGGCGTTAAACAGTAAACAAACAAGCAAACAAAACAGTGGTGGGACAAGATACCTCGGAGTGCACAATAAGCAGCAGCTGGAAGTGCTCGTAAAATCAACCCTTCAGTCAGAGTACCTGGGGAACAGCAGTATTAAACCTGACCATCAACTGTAGGTCATCTGTTGATGATCAGATCATTTACAGGTAGTACAGTTTGTAGGTAGACCAATGAATGGGCAGGTCAGTATACAGGTAGGAAGGTTTATGAATAGGCTAATTAATGAGCTGATCTGTTTACAGGTAGTACAGTTTTTAGTTTGACCAATTAATGGGCAGATCAATTTACAGGTAGGAAGGTTTATGAAAGAGGTGGGTTTAGCAGAAGATCGATTTATAAGGTGCTCGGTTTAGAAGTTACAGATGCATCACGGCGTCAATGTTGCATTGACAGGGCAGGTAATCTTGTTTGTTCTCACAGGTTTGGAGGTAATTAGTTTTTTCTGTTCCATACCACATTGTAATACTTCAAGTCTTTAAAGGGCGTTCAGAGGTGATAGACATAAGGAAGAGTTTTTATGGATGTCAACTTGTTGATTATGAAGAACAACATTTCGGAGTATATACTTACCCCTTCATCAGGTGAATGATTTATCATTGTTGACATCCTTAATTTCTCTTCCTTACTGTAATACTTTGATTTAAATAATATTTTCACAATGAGTTAAGATTTGGTTCCTTATTATAGCCAAATCAAACAACTTCACCATACACCCTGTTTATAGTGTTAAAACCTTCTGGGTATCTAGATGTCCTGTTGATAAAGTTGTGATGGATTTTAAGATCCCTGTTTTTCAAGAAACATTTTATGAACAAGTTTCAATTATATTTGTATCAACATTTTTGCATATTGATGTCAACTTTTATAACTGATAACTCTGTGTAACTCCATGGCCTTTAATGACACATAGGGTATTGCGGTACTAATGGGCTGAAGCCAGATATTACACAACGGGGTTACTTCCCCCTAGTCTGCCAACAGGCTTTTTTGTTTCGGAAAAGCATTTTATGTTCTCATATACTAGCTGATAATTAGACATTTCAACAAGATACTTTCAATTGCAAACATTTAGTGTTAATAAGTTATTTCATATGAAACTATTTCCTGTGAGGTTTGATTTGTCACTGTTTGCAAGTGGACAACAAATGAAAAATATATGCCTTGGTTGGTCCAGGTAGTCTTAGTGACATTCAGTTGATCTTCCATTGTCACTCCCAGGTACATGTAGTGGCTCCAAGTCAGTCCCCAGGCAGTTGTGGATGAATGTTTTACCCTTCCTGCTGATCACAGTATTTGTAGAAAGTATAATGTGCTCATCACAGTACTGGTCTATAGTATGATACTATACTGATCTAAATATTGGTATGTGGTATGATTGTGCTGATCACAATACCGGTCAGTAGTATGATACTATACTGATCTAAGTATTGGTATGTGGTATGATTGTGCTGATCACAGTATATGGTATGTAACTATTTCCATGGCCAAACATAAGAAGGGTTTGATAATGATTCTTTGTGTTAATGAATTATCTTACTAGTTAGTCTTTCCTGGAGAAAGAAACTGACCATAATGCTTTAGCCGTGTTCATGTACTCAACCAGGCGTTCCCAGTACGGGTGATCCTGACGTAAGAGGCTTGTGTGTGCATCCAACATTCGCTCTGACCATACATCCATTGTGTATAAATTACTGTTTGTTTCTGTGTTAGAGACACCACTATTGCCAAACAACAAGGCAAGGTCACTGATGTTTACGTACCTTACAATTATGTGAAATTAAGTTTTGAATAACTGTGTTCTTTCAGAATACATTATGCACACAAAACACCTGCCAACCAATCTTGTTATCCAACCGCTAGTGGATATAAAACACTGTTCAGTTTTCAAGTGCCAATCAGGAAATAAAACAAACTGTGCAGAGATACTGTGTTGTCATGTGTTTCCGCGAATGTGTGTTGAGTTGGTCCCGGGTGTTGGTCCCGTGTGTGGATTTGGAGGGACAATAGGTCGCCTATGTGTGTCTATGTGTGGTTATTGTAAAGGCTTCCAGTTACTCATGCTGGTCTCCTGTGTGGCATCTGGGGCAGAACAGGCCTGCAGTACCTCATGCTGTCTCCTGTGTGACATCTGGGGCAGAATAGGCCTGCAATACCTCATGCTGTCTCCTGTGTGACATCTGGGGCAGAATAGGCCTCCAATACCTCATGCTGTCTCCTGTGTATCATCTGGAGCAGAATAGGCCTCCAATACCTCATGCTGTCTCCTGTGTGACATCTGGGGCAAAATAGGCCTGCAATACCTCATGCTGTCTCCTGTGTGACATCTGGAGCAGAATAGGCCTCCAATACCTCATGCTGTCTCCTGTGTGACATCTGGGGCAGAATAGGCCTGCAATACCTCATGCTGTCTCCTGTGTGACATCTGGGGCAGAACAGGCCTGCAGTACCTCATGCTGTCTCCTGTGTGACATCTGAGGCAGAATAGGCCTCCAATACCTCATGCTGTCTCCTGTGTGACATCTGGGGCAGAACAGGCCTGCAGTACCTCATGCTGTCTCCTGTGTGACATCTGAGGCAGAATAGGCCTCCAATACCTCATGCTGTCTCCTGTGTGACATCTGAGGCAGAATAGGCCTGCAGTACCTCATGCTGTCTCCTGTGTGACATCTGGGGCAGAACAGGCCTGCAGTACCTCATGCTGTCTCCTGTGTGACATCTGAGGCAGAATAGGCCTCCAATACCTCATGCTGTCTCCTGTGTGACATCTGAGGCAGAATAGGCCTGCAGTACCTCATGCTGTCTCCTGTGTGACATCTGAGGCAGAATAGGCCTCCAATACCTCATGCTGTCTCCTGTGTGAAATCTGAGTCAGAACAGGCCTGCAGTACCTCATGCTGTCTCCTGTGTGAAATCTGGGGCAGAATAGGCCTCCAATACCTCATGCTGGTCTCCTGTGTGACATCTGGGGCAGAACAGGCCTGCAGTACCTCATGCTGTCTCCTGTGTGACATCTGGGGCAGAATAGGCCTGCAATACCTCATGCTGTCTCCTGTGTGACATCTGGGGCAGAACAGGCCTGCAGTACCTCATGCTGTCTCCTGTGTGAAATCTGGGGCAGAATAGGCCTCCAATACCTCATGCTGGTCTCCTGTGTGACATCTGGGGCAGAACAGGCCTGCAGTACCTCATGCTGTCTCCTGTGTGAAATCTGGGGCAGAATAGGCCTGCAATACCTCATGCTGTCTCCTGTGTGACATCTGGGGCAGAACAGGCCTGCAGTACCTCATGCTGTCTCCTGTGTGAAATCTGGGGCAGAATAGGCCTCCAATACCTCATGCTGGTCTCCTGTGTGACATCTGAGGCAGAATAGGCCTCCAGTACCTCATGCTGTCTCCTGTGTGACATCTGAGGCAGAACAGGCCTGCAGTACCTCATGCTGGTCTCCTGTGTGGCATCTGAGGCAGAATAGGCCTCCAGTACCTCATGCTTGTCTCCTGTGTGACATCTGAGGCAGAATAGGCCTCCAGTACCTCATGCTGTCTCCTGTGTGACATCTGGGGCAGAACAGGCCTGCAGTACCTCATGCTGGTCTCCTGTGTGACATCTGAGGCAGAATAGGCCTCCAATACCTCATGCTGTCTCCTGGGTGACATCTGAGGCAGAACAGGCCTCCAGTACCTCATGCTGTCTCCTGGGTGACATCTGAGGCAGAATAGGCCTCCAATACCTCATGCTGGTCTCCTGTGTGACATCTGAGGCAGAATAGGCCTCCAGTATACGTACCTCATGCTGGTCTCCTGTGTGACATCTGAGGCAGAATAGGCCTCCAATACCTCATGCTGGTCTCCTGTGTGACATCTGAGACAGAACAGGCCTCCAGTATACGTACCTCATGCTGGTCTCCTGTGTGACATCTGAGGCAGAATAGGCCTCCAATACCTCAAGCTGGTCTCCTGTGTGACATCTGGGGCAGAACAGGCCTCCAGTATACGTACCTCATGCTGGTCTCCTGTGTGACATCTGAGGCAGAATAGGCCTCCAATACCTCATGCTGGTCTCCTGTGTGACATCTGAGGCAGAACAGGCCTGCAGTACCTCATGCTGGTCTCCTGTGTGACATCTGAGGCAGAATAGGCCCCCAGTACTCATGCTGGTCTCCTGTGTGACATCTGAGGCAGAACAGGCCTGCAGTACCTCATGCTGTCTCCTGTGTGACATCTGGGGCAGAACAGGCCTGCAGTACCTCATGCTGGTCTCCTGTGTGACATCTGAGGCAGAATAGGCCTCCAATACCTCATGCTGTCTCCTGGGTGACATCTGAGGCAGAACAGGCCTCCAGTACCTCATGCTGTCTCCTGGGTGACATCTGAGGCAGAATAGGCCTCCAATACCTCATGCTGGTCTCCTGTGTGACATCTGAGGCAGAATAGGCCTCCAGTATACGTACCTCATGCTGGTCTCCTGTGTGACATCTGAGGCAGAATAGGCCTCCAATACCTCATGCTGGTCTCCTGTGTGACATCTGAGACAGAACAGGCCTCCAGTATACGTACCTCATGCTGGTCTCCTGTGTGACATCTGAGGCAGAATAGGCCTCCAATACCTCAAGCTGGTCTCCTGTGTGACATCTGGGGCAGAACAGGCCTCCAGTATACGTACCTCATGCTGGTCTCCTGTGTGACATCTGAGGCAGAATAGGCCTCCAATACCTCATGCTGGTCTCCTGTGTGACATCTGAGGCAGAACAGGCCTGCAGTACCTCATGCTGGTCTCCTGTGTGACATCTGAGGCAGAATAGGCCTCCAGTACTCATGCTGGTCTCCTGTGTGACATCTGAGGCAGAACAGGCCTGCAGTACCTCATGCTGGTCTCCTGTGTGACATCTGAGGCAGAATAGGCCTCCAGTACCTCATGCTGTCTCCTGTGTGACATCTGAGGCAGAACAGGCCTGCAGTACCTCATGCTGGTCTCCTGTGTGGCATCTGAGGCAGAATAGGCCTCCAGTACCTCATGCTTGTCTCCTGTGTGACATCTGAGGCAGAATAGGACTCCAGTATACGTACCTCATGCTGTCTCCTTTGTGACATCTGAGGCAGAACAGGCCTCCAATACCTCATGCTGGTCTCCTGTGTGACATCTGAGGCAGAATAGGCCTCCAATACCTCATGCTTGTCTCCTGTGTGGCATCTGAGGCAAAATAGGCCTCCAATACCTCATGCTGGTCTCCTGTGTGACATCTGAGGCAGAATAGGCCTCCAATACCTCATGCTGGTCTCCTGTGTGGCATCTGAGGCAGAATAGGCCTCCAATACCTCATGCTGGTCTCCTGTGTGACATCTGAGGCAGAATAGGCCTCCAGTACCTCATGCTGGTCTCCTGTGTGACATCTGAGGTAGAATAAGCCTCCAGTACCTCATGCTGGTCTCCTGTGTGACATCTGAGGCAGAACAGGCCGCTGTCATGTAGATGCCTTATTGTTGACTTCAGGTCGAGGTGATGATGTAAAAAAAAAACCCAATGCATCCATTCGCAGGCTAAAAGTTAGAAATTTGTTCTTTTGCTTGTTTTTTTTATCGGGAGTCTAACAGACAAACTGTTTGGTAGTCAATAGTGTAAGGCTAGCTCGCGCTGTGACTCTAGCACTGTGAGAATCGAGCAAGTCGATGAGTGTTCGAAATAAATATTTGATGGGTCTGACACGCGGAAGGCGACTACCGTTGCCGACATGTCTGGGATATAATTATTTTACGTCAGTGTATGCTCTGAAGTACAGCATATTGTACAGATCGCGGGGTATATTGGCGTTATCACACCGCAGCTGAGCGACTGACACCGCCACTGCCAGCACAAGGATCGGAATCGCACGTGAAACAAAAAACAAACATTATCCGAGTAAGCTCTGTAGTGCTGCAACCAACGCCGACTTCCTACTTTTAGATCGTTGTGAAATTCAATCAACAGACTCACCCCTTTTGTATGTTTGCAGAGTCAGTAAAGATTTCTTCACAACCACAATCAAACACTTTGACAATATCTTTACAGGTTGAACAAGTCTAGCCAGGACGTGGCATTAATATAAATAAATTGTAAAGAATAAGGAATGTATTTCAGATCTGATCTCGACAGCGAGGAGGGCGGAAATATTCCAGGGTGCGTGTCTGGGACAGATCCCATTGTGGTGTGACGTCCGCTCGGACCTTTATGGGCCGGACCACCAGCACGGCATTAAGATTGACTGTTTAATATAACCAGAGACCATCGGTATATGGTCTCTGATATAACCAGAGCGAGTGCGCGTGTAAGCGCCACAGATCGAAATGTGAAATAGTAGTGGGTTCCATGTGTACTTATCCGACCTGGCTCCCGACCTGGCTCCCGACCAGCCTCGTTCTTAAGGTCGCTAAACTGTGGATTAGGTGTCACGGGGATACCGAGTATGGTCAGTAGGTGAATGTTGTTTAGCGCAGCAGTCAGAAATAGTTCAGTTATATAAAGGCGGTCTCAAGCCTGGTAATCAGTTATTGGAAATAAGAACAACGACCCACTCCATCGGCCGCGATCGAGGGCATGGTATCAGCCAAGACACAGAGACAGGTAGTCCTGCACCATGACCGTGGAATATATTTATTTTATGAAAAATAAATCAATCTAGAAATGCGTACAAAAGCAAGTCTAGTCAGCTCAAGCTAGCTCTATTCCACATTCTATTCTGAAATCAGCATAGGGAATTGTTTTTTTATTTTTAGAGTCAAGAAGGATATTGTGTAATATAAGATTTCAGAGACTAAATGTTAGTCTAAGAGACAGGGCGCTCTGCAAAACGTGCGCCAGGGACTTGGTTCTTACGAGTTGAGTGTGGTTATAGTATTTAGGGGACAGTTGACCACGTTGATACCAACGCTTGTCGCCGTCATGGTAGTTGC